ATGAAGAAGTACATCTTCGACCCTTTAGGAATGAAAAGTATGACCTTTTCGCTTCTTTCTCCTGAAGATATTCGTTCAAGGATTCCTAAATTAGCAGTCCGGATGGAAGATAATGGAATCTCAACTTTAGCCGCTGTCTGGCCCGAAGACCCTCCAGATGATTGTGGCGGCGTTGGTCTCTACGGAAGTGCGGAAGATTTTATGAAGCTCTTGGAAATGCTATTGCAGAAAAATGGAGAGGTATTACACCCGGAAACGATAGAAAGATTATTTACACCGCAGCCTAGTGAGTCCAGATATTTTACTCGCTTTATGTCAGACAGGATGTTGCAGGCAACTATGGGAGTGCCTCTACACATACCATGTCAATGGGCTTTCGGAGGTTTAGTTACTTCGGATCTTATCGAAGGAAGGAGAGAAGCAGGTGCGGTTTGTTGGGGGGGACTCCCTAATATCAAATGGGTAAGTCTTTATGCTTTTACATTCTCAACTGACGTCCATCTCTGTGCAACGAGAAATCCTGTGGGCCGAGAAGAGCCAATGAAACACCGCCTTGTTGCAAAACTCGTCATCCCTACAGTTCCATTGGCTGTTCTCGGTTCACCGGGTTTCTCGTTGCACAGGGATGGACGTTAAATAGATAGAGAATTTAGACATATTCACCATCATAATAGAGTACAGCTGACTGATTTATAGTGGATTGACTTCAAGAGAGGAATTTGTGGCTTGTATACTTCACAAGTTTTTCCTCCATTCGATGTAATATCTAATAGCCTTTTTACTCAATTTGAAGAGGATGTTTATTCTAAACTTTAGTAGAGCATTTTACTTTGGCACATTGCTTGCCAAGTAAGTATGCTCTGCTAAATAGGTTTACTACTGTCAGAAACAGGGTGCATGCCTAGAAAGAGTATACTGTTAGATAACAGCATAGCAGCGAGGGTAGGCGATACTGCTTTGTAGTACAAAGCTCGGGTGTAACCACTTAAATACCACACACTGGATAAAAAGAATAAGATAGCAAGGAACTATTTAATAAATATTCTTTAACCAACGTCTGTCACTGTACAGCGAAAAACACTGTAGACCGAGAACTACCAATTAGGCAGTGGGAATTGCTGACTCATATCACGCCCTTGCTCTCCCATTAGACATTCTCAGCCCACAGTGTTTTTCGCCGTGTAGTGACAGACGTCACTTGTTTTACAGTTGTTAGCGATTGCAGCTTTACCCCTACATGCAGCTACGTAACGAGTCTGAATGCCCCTCAAACTTCCGTATGGATGTGAATGTTCGCAGCAAAATAGGTGATGTGATTGGTCAATTGCCGATCCAATAATGACTAGTCTTTAGAATGCTTACGTGCAGGGGGAAAGGAGGGGTGAAGCCGCAATCGCTAATAACATGATATTTAATATCATCGCACCAGATAGCGCGTTTTGTCTGAGAAGGGGATTCACAAACTAATGACGGCTAACGCTGTTCCATAGCGATTTTCGTATTTGCCTTTCTTCATACTCTTCTTTGTGTACTGTAACCAGAGTCTGTCACTATGTGACGAAAACCCCCGTGTGCCGAGAACGACCAACCGGATCGCAAAGATGACACGCTTCTCTACGACCCTCACGATCCGATTGGTCATCTTCGGCACACGGAGTTTTTCGTCGCATAGGGACAGACTTTACTACATTAGAATTTTTTGTCGGTTCTGTCGGTTCTGTCGGTTCTGTCGGTTCTGTCGGTTCTAAAATCTATGGAGAGCTTGAGAGGGGCAGGGGCAGGGACAGCGACAGGGATAGGGTCAGGGGCCAGAACAACAAAGTCATCTGCGGCTGTTCGCAGCCGAACAATAGCAATAGTTTAACTAGAACGTGGTATTTCCAATGTCGTATAAGCTGTGATTTTTGAATGAGGTTATTCGTATCTAAACGAAATCGATTTGCAGCCTAAATCTTGGTGCTTTGAATCCAAATCGCGACGAAGTTGCTAAAGTCTGCCCCTATGTGACGAAAAATTCCGTGTGCCGAAGATGACCAATCGGATCGTGAGGGTCGTAGAGAAGCGTGTCATCTTTGCGATCCGGTTGGTCGTTCTCGGCACACGGGGTTTTTCGTCACATAGTGAAAGACTTTACGGAGGTGACTTTCAAAAGTTCTTGCTAGCGTATTTGTTAGCGGCCGATCAGTCGGCCCGACTTTCTTGGCACCCATCCAGATTTTTTGAAGCTGGAGGTAATGGTGGTGATAGTCTATATACTCAATTTTTTGGTGTTTTCAACTATACTATGGCTCCTAACACTGATCCCTATACCCGTGCGCTTATTGTGACGCTGAAGTCACCTTTTGGTGGCAAATCTACCGCCCAGATCAGCGCTATCACAGGTATTTCACCACGCACTATTGACTCAATTTATGGTAGAGCCTGCCAACGTGGATTTGAGCCTAATTCACCCACTATTAAACTCCTCCCCGAGTACCTCGAAGACGCCCCTCGCGCTGGTCGCCCTCATAAGCAGGAAGCTATCCACAACGCCACTCTTTCACAAGTATGCCGAGATAGATATGGGAGAGAGAAGAGCTGTGCTGATATAGCTGGTGATCTTAGTGTTCACGGTTACAACATATCATCCACCACAGTGTGGAGAGTCCTAAAAGCAGCCGGTTACAACAAGACGAAGCCCACGAGGAAGCCTGGGTTGACGAAGAAGATGAGACAGGAGAGACTTGAGTGGTGTCTTGCCCATCAAGACTGGACTCTGGAGGACTGGAAGAATGTCATCTGGTCTGATGAGACCTCTGTCGTGCTCAACCACCGCCGTGGTGGCTATCGGGTCTGGAGAAAACCTGATGAGGTCTTCACCAAAACAGTCATTCGCGAGCAGTGGAAAGGCTACTCAGAGTTCATGTTCTGGGGCTGCTTCTCTTATGATCACAAGGGCCCATGCCACATCTGGTGCCCTGAGACTGCACAGCAGAAGAGAGAGGCAGCTCTTCAAATTGAAGAGATGAACAAGGTCCTTGAGCCTATTATGAGGCAGGAGTGGGAGCTTACAACTGGCATGAAGAGGATGGGATTAAGGAACAAGCCAGGCAGGACTCCGCAATGGAGATGGACAAAAGAGACCGGCAAGCTGTCTCGTGATAGTGGAAGAGGCATAGATTGGTGGCGCTACCAGACTCAAGTTCTAATCCCAAAGCTCATTCCCTTCGCTAAGGAGTGCCAGAAAGGGAGACCATGTACTGTAGTTCAAGAGGACAAGGCTCCTTCGCATGCCCACTACGCCCAACAACTAGTATACAGTAGAGAGGGAGTAGAGAAGCTTTTATGGTGTGGCAATTCACCTGACCTCAACGCTATTGAAGCAGCCTGGCCATGGCTCAAGCGGAGAACCACCAGGAAAGGCGCTCTAAAAAATAGAGCAGAGGGCACAAAGGCATGGCTGGAGGCTTGGGATGAGCTACCTCAACACCAAATCCAGGCTTGGATAGAGCGTATACAGTTTCATGTAAAGGAGATTATTAGACTTGAAGGCGGCAACGAATACAAGGAGGGGCGGCGCGACCGAACAGTCCAAGCTTCGGTGGTATAGAGCAGAGGGCACAAAGGCATGGCTGGAGGCTTGGGATGAGCTACCTCAACACCAAATCCAGGCTTGGATAGAGCGTATACAGTTTCATGTAAAGGAGATTATTAGACTTGAAGGCGGCAACGAATACAAGGAGGGGCGGCGCGACCGAACAGTCCAAGCTTCGGTGGTACTACGGCAGTAATATAGACCCCCCTGTCAGCAAGAACTTTTGAAAGTCACCTCCGTAGTTCCTGTGCTAGCTCCCAGGATCTGGCCACCTCATTTTCTCTTGTATGACTCAAAGCACTGAAAACACGGAATTATTAGATAGCTATTCGCCCCACGGAGCCCAGTTCGGTCGAACTGGGCTCCGTGGGGCGAGTAGGGACGGACTTTACTCAAATCAAGTCCAACTTCCCCATCAAATTCAACTACTCCCTATCACCTGCTTCAGGTCATTTTTGAAGCACATGCCTTCAGGAAGATTTAGACAACACAGCCCACAGACCCCGGTCTTGGTGTTCCAATGTTAGTGGAACGCTCTGCAAGTGGTCTTTGAATATGCGTTGATTTGTGCGTGTTAGCCGTGCATTCACTAGGGGTGCCGGACGGGCCAACGCCGGATTACGTCCTACAACACCAAATATCTGATCAACTTCTAACTATGTAGTTATTTACTCTAACATTTCGCACGAATGTAACCTGATAGCTGAATATGAAGCCTTAATTCCTCCCGAAGTTGGCTAACTTCCAATTTCAGATTCGAGAGTTGGAGTTCGATGATTTCCCGTCTCCGCTGTTCATCACGCTGCTCTGCCTCAAGGAGACTGACAAGATCCTCATGCTTTCGACGCGACTTAGCGGCCGCTTGGCGATTTCGCTCTTTGTATTTACCATGGTACTTCTCACGTAATTGCTTCACCTCCTTGCTGGGTTGCATGGAATGCTCAACCAGCTTAACATCATTCTGTGATCTCAGCGAGGAGCCCTCCACCCGTGAATTTATCATTTGAAACCTGCTACTGGTTGGCATAGTATTGGCAGTTTGTATCGTTTGAAAGTCTGATTCTAGGCCAGTCTGAACTGTGTCGATCGGACCATATATATCAGTAGACGCGTTTATCCATTCGATGGGACCACCCAAGTCGGAGATAGATTCATTGGAAGGAGAAATGACCGTGGTAGTAGATAAGAAATCTGATGGGCTAGGGTCGATCCATAGGTTATCTTTCACCAACTCTTCTTGCATGTTGTTGGCCGTGTGCTGCTGTAGATCGGGAAAAGCGCCATCTAAGTAGTCTATTGTGTCCTCGGACCTTCCTCAAATAGTCAGTGTATGATATTCCAAGACTTCTAAACAGCATGTCCTCCATAAGTAAAACACAAGCTTTCCTACATTTCGCCAGGTGTGATAACGTTCATGTTGTGACCTAAAATGCCGAAAACCTCCATTATTTCTTAGGGATGGTGAGCTCCTCTTGGTGATGCAAAGCAAGGTTTCCTGTAATTAAACTATTAGAGCAATGATCATGAAAAAGTCCACTAGATAAAGCAAAATTGAATAAATGCGATTACGGCGGCCAGAAAAGGCTCCTGAATAATAGAAAAATTGATACTAGGCTTTTCGGCTGAAGGATAATGAAAAGCAACGAAGTGAACAACTCACAAAAATAAAGAAGACGTGCGCAGAGATGAATCGATACCAGTCCGCTTGGAATAATACTTGGAAGTATAAGGTTAACTTTGGATAATCAGTAAGTATGAGAAGGTGAGCATTCTATAAATCAATGTGTTTTAATAACTCACCCTACAGGGACATGACCTGCATACCTAAGGGTGCAAAAATCAATTCTGCTTCGAGGACCCTCTAGGAGTCCGGCCGGATAGGAGTCCGGCCGGATGAGTTCGGCCATATTTTTGAGAGCAACGGGCCGGGGCGGAAATGCTCCCGCTTCTAGGTTCAGTAATTACATGATGAAAAATTGTCTGCTCCTCTGTTGGAAGTGGCTTCGTTGAGTTGGACGTGTAATTACGTCGAAAGGTTGTTTTGGGTATGCCGTAGTCTCGTACATTACGGTAAACAGTGACTTTTGAGGCAACACAGATTATTGGTGAAGGTTCAGTTGGGATTGACGCTTCTTCAACGGCTTCACTTGCCTGCTATTCACCGCTGAGTGATAACTCAGCTTGGCTTGCAGTGGCAAACCCGCTCATCAAGATAGTTTTCGTCTCGGTAAGCCAGGGTTAATCGATACATTCTCATGCACTTGCAGCTTCCGCTTTGCGCACACGGATCCACCTGGTAAAGTATGCTTGTCTAAAAGAGGTTAAACTAGCTAGATATCACTAAGCAACAGAGGTTTAGCGTGGGATGAAAGGCCGCCTGCTTACAGAAACCGGAAGCCGTAACTGCATGAGAGCGTATTTGTGTACGAGAAAAGAACACATTCTGTCCTCCCGGAGCATTCGCACATAGCCGCGGGGTTAAGCGAGAGGATTCATATGTTCCTATGTTCACCCGGCTAAGACGTTTTCCGGGCCTGATAGAACACGAGCGACATTTCACTCGCCACATTTCATAGCCCTTGCTACAACAAAAGTAGAATTCATTGTTACTGAGGTTGGTGGGACGGGTTAAAAGATACAAAGTTGAATCACGAGCGGACTGCGCACATAAGCGCTGAAGCTAAGGCTATACAGGCTACTGAGATTTATCCCATGTTTTTGTGATATGCCCACAAATTGAGATGTGTTCCAAACGCTAATTAATCGCTCGATTTGGCTTAGTAAGTAACTTATGGACGCGAAACCAGCGTCTCTATGTAGCAGATAGACACAGCCACAGAATCGCTGGTGTTGAGTTCGCATGCTTGTCTTGTGTACTTTACCATGCAAGACATTGCGGCTCCACTAAACTGAGTCTACAGCTCCTTTGAAGAAGCGTATGATGCGCTCAAAATGCACGGCATGCAGCATGGCTATGGTTTTATCTTTAAGCGGAGTTTGCCTCATAACTGTGAGGTCAAGACACGTTACAATGCCCATGCGCAGGTCGAGCCACCCCACAATGTTCCATCCCAACTTCAAATCAATATAACTCCACCACCATGGATCCAATTCAAAAAAGCAGTTAAATGCTTAGAATCGCGTGAAGTTGGAGATAATTTCTCGTACCGCGAAGTCGCGAAGATGTTTAGTGTAAACCGAACGACGCTGTCGCAAAGGCACAGAGGTGTACAGAGATCCCTACGCGCCCAGTCACAACACTAACAAGTACTCAACCCACAGAAGCAGGTTCAAGAAGCTGCAAAGGTGGCTCGACAACAAGCCAAAACTGAGCGTGAGCGCGAGCGGAAACAGCGCGCTGAGGAACTAGCTGCTCAACGGGCGCTCAAAAAGCTGCAACGCGACGCTGCAACCGCAAAAAAAACTTACGATACAGCAAACAAGTGTAAGCGAAAAGTCTCACATAAAGCAGCCAAAAATCTGACAAAGCGTCGTCGTGTTGCTGCTGCATCAAGTCGGGTTGACGCTGGTCCGCCTGCGGCGTCTCCCCCACCCAAATACAGCGCAAGTCAGCGCCAAGTTAAGACACCAACGAGATACAAGTAGTGCAAACGATCTAGAAGCTTCTGTATAGCGATACCTCAGAAAGTCTCACGATAATAGCTATCGTGCGTGTGGCTCAATAACCTCATCTTTTCGATCGTCTGATCTTTTTGGGGTGGCTCGACCCGCGAACTGGCTCGACCTACGCACGGGCATTGTATGCTGGCTGTCAGCAGTAATAAAGGATTGTAAGCTAATAAGACAACAATGCTCGTGATAGCTAGGCCGACCACGGGCAAGCTTGCATTAAAGGAGATCGGTACGTAAGTAAAACATATATACATGCACTATGGAAAAAGATAGAAAACTACGAGTTCAAGCGGCCGTGCAGTGTCACAAGTAGAGTACCGTGCTGGACGGCGCAACGATCGCTCCGCCTCACCAACCATCATCACCAGAATCAGGTCGTAGAGCCGCACCAGATAGCTGTTATTAGAAGATTTCTTAGTTTTAAGATACAGAAATAGTATTACAATTATCTGATTATCGATACTTGGCTGGCAACTTAATATCGCGGCCGCGCCGTGATCGTGATGTTGATGGAGCTGCTGAGCGATCGAATGGCTGCTCACCACCATCACGGCTACTAAAGTGTGTCCCTATGTGACGAAAAACCCTGTGTTCCGAGAACGACCAACCGGATCGCAAAGATGACACACTTCTCTTGGACCCTCGTAATCCGATTGGTCATTTTCGGTACACAGGTTTTTCGTCACATAGAGACAGACTTTAGCCCAGACGCCTTAAAAGCCCTCTTAGTGTCCGTCCCTGTGTAACTAATGTTACAATTGAACCAGCGCAGCGACATAAACGATAGAGACGCTGTAGTTCTTATGTTATTTTCTACTGTTTATATTTCTCTAATAAGATTTTTGATTAGTGGCTGTTTCGCGGCTCTACTTAGCAATACAGTATCCCTTTAGCCCTGGCAGCTTGTATATCTTAATTAACTACCTTGATAGTCGTTCAAACGAAGGCCTCGGGCCGTACGGAGAGCCTCGGCGATAGGTTTTGTAATTGTTGGCGCGGTACCCGCCTCGCCACCCGCCTCGGTAGCCTCTGCGAATATGATCAAAATAACTGCTCCCATGCCTTATATGTTGTTTTCGAAGTTCATAAATGTCTTGAAACTCCCCCGGAGATTGATCCTCCGCAAGGCGACTTAGGTCTTCGTTTGTTGCGGAAGAGGCATCTGGATATTCCAGTAGATTTGTGTGCTTGTTGTTCTGTAGTGGTGTATAAGGCATTTTATAATTGATTTGTGGTTCTTCTAACCTGTAAAGCCATAAGAACCTGATAAACACTCTTCAATTTTAAGATGTACCGTGCACAATTCGAAGGAAGAGCATGCTCTTCCTTAGTACTTTCATCGTGACTTTGCTCCTTAGATGCCTGCGAACAAGCCGGTTCATATAATTGTTGGCTATTTTCTCTTAGCGATTCAAGTAGGGTAGAAGTGGCCGCAGACAAAGCCTCCGCCCATTGGAGTAAGCCATCGTTGCTCATGTTGAACGAGTTTGGAGCTTAAAAGGATCGATAACAATTTGAATGAAACAAAGCTAGTCGCAAAAGCCAAAAGAGTATCTGTGTTATTTTATAGCGATGAATACCCTAAAGCAGGGTCGGATCGAGGCAGATCTGAGGCGGAACATCCGGTTACCTACGATTCCGAATATATCCTTCCGAAGATTCCATCACATCAACGCCAAGCATCACTGTAACCAGTTATACTAGGCAATTCATATCTCGCCGCTTGCTTTGCCGTTCAATAATCACGGCCTGACCTATCGCTCTTGTCAGATTTTTATGGATGGGATCAAGTGTGTATTGTCTGTCTCTGTCTACGGCTCTGTCTGTGGGAGGTGGCCTCGCCTCGGGCTTGGCAGTGCTAAGTCCCGGCGCTAGCCCTGGTTTGGGGGTCTCATGTCCTTCCCCAACCACCATCGGCTCGATCATGGAGCAAAACCTCGCCTCAATCTGACAGCTCTCCTGCGCGCAGCCTAGCGTGTAGTCTGTTTGCCTTGTGTGCTTTATGGCCTCAGGCAGCAGGAAGAAATTCGCACTAGGCAGACAACATCCCTCTGTTAGGCGAGATAGCTAACCCTTACTTGGATGAAACAAGCGCTTATGCATTTTGCACGTGTATGGAAATCAACTTCCTCCTTATCTAGTTAGGCGCATTGATATTGGATCCTGATAGTCTTGTCTCTACCGAGACCATAATGCAGGTATATCACCCCGAAATCGTGTGTCTCTTGTTAAGAAATATTAGGAAGAGCATGCAGGGCCTTATTGTATTGGCGGGCTATTCAAATCGGGCGGATAATATCGGGAGTCCACAACATCGAGCAGTCTAAATTCTCTAGATCCAGCTCTCCTCAAACGCTAATCGACTGACTTGGAAGAAGAGCTAGAGGATCACTATGTGGAAGTTTTTTTTTGCTTTACCGATTCAAGCTTTGTCATTTCAACTACGCAAGAAGACATTCATTCTATCCAATCCTAGTCTTCTCTTCATTAGTATGAAGGCTAGTAACTACTCAATCGATCCTACAGCTGCGAGATCGAGGCTCTAATTTGAGACTATATCAACCATATTACGAAGTTGTCTTTGAGCGAAATATCGTTGTTACTGCAGAACAGACCCCCCTGGTCCCTCTGATTCTTTTAGTCGTTGTATTCCATGACTCCGTATGATCATACCACCATTGTCGAAGAGCAACATATGAACATCATCGACTAGGCCACCACCAAGTCGCCCGCTGGCCTCCGAGTATATCCACACGCAATTCCCTTCAGCCAGGGTATCCTTTACTTTGAGGCGAAAATTTGGACTTTTGATCAAGATTTGAGGCCATAGCTCCACGAATGATTGCTTCGTTAGACATGTATCGTTGTGGACTAATTGGATGGAGTCGTGCATAAAAGCAGCTCCTGCCTCAGTGTTGCGCTTGTTGACAATAGTGTCTATCCACTCGAGGGCACGTGCTCTGAAATCCACTGTCATGCTGCGTATTTGGGCTTGTTGTATCTGGGCTTATTGACATGTGCTTGTAAGCATATAAAGCGTGGGGTGTACAGAGTAAGATTGAATATTTTCCCAGAAATCAAGTTTGCATTAGATCTGTTGTTTTTGCGTGAACTTCCATTATCGGAGTTAGTGTCACTACTTATATTAATTAGGTCAAAAACATACATGAATCGGCGCTGGCTACGATGACGTGGAGCCGCGTGTGAAGGCAAAACCAATTTACCAAAATGACGTGTACAAAAACATGGGCTTGATTATCGCCCGCAACGCTATGTCTCGGAACCCGAGGTTATGATGGTAAAGGCAAGCAGCTTGGTTCCGAGTATTAGAGTATCATATTATGGCTAACCGATATATTTACATCACTCCGTGACGGGACTTCTTGTGTGCCGGGACCGGCCAATGAGATCGTAGATTCTGAGTGGAAGTCTGTGACTGAAGCGTTCTGATTAGCCGGTTCCGGCACACAAGGAGCCCCGTCACGGAGTGATGCACGTTGGTCAATTTTACACTGATTTGCGTATTTGGCTTCCGCGTTTTGCAAGGCGGAAGATACTCATGCAACAAGGGTCTCCGGTATCGTAAGCGAAAACTTTGCCCAGAAGAGCAATCAGCATCATGTTGGTCATCTTGTTCCTCAGACCAGCAAGGGCTTACTATATATCAGCACTCTTCTTGCATGTGTACAGTAACCAGGCAAGGCGATGCGAACTTTCAGTAAGCTTTTGTATGTACGCGTTCCGGGTGGTCTGCTCGCTTGTTTTGTTCTCTTTCCGGCAAGCCCTTAGCCCGAGTCAGCAAGGATCCCTGTCAGAAATACATTCTAATCTATCGCAAAACCGGAAGCCGGATAGTTATGCAGATAAGTGTATGCCAGACTTACTCCTAATAGTCAAATAACTACTTAGCGACGAAAGAGAACACTTTTCACCCCCTTCCCCAGAGGCTTTTAGCTGCGTGGAAATATGCAGGATAACTATAATTGTCTTAATTATCTAGGTGTAGTTGGCACTTCACAGACGAATCCCTTAGAGCAGAAGTGTGCGCACGTATTTGACAACACAGAACCACAAAACTTAGGTCGGTTTGCAGAACACCACAACTTACTTCATTATACGTTTGGTCTATTTTCTGACTACCTGTAGGTTTCTTTGTAAGCTATGACAGTCGTCTGAATTTGCTCTGGGACCCGAATAGTCCAGCCTTGGTTGCGGACACAAGTTCTTCGATTGAGTCTTCGGATGCGACATTTCCCTACGCTCTGTCCTCAGGTGGTTCTGCAATTAGTACGGAAGGTAGATTTGTCCGAGCTCCACCAGCTACACCAGCTCCACCAGCTACACCAATTCAAGCTTATAAGGCTGCATCACATGCACAATTTCCTGCTTTTTCATCCGGCTCTCCGACCGGAAACATTGCTGAGGGCGTCGGCCCGGAACAATATGGCACTGTTCCGGTGAGTCGGCAACAGGAAGTCGATGTGTCACTGCGATGTTGGGAGCACGCTTGCCAAGGGCGCTTATTTTCTACTCGAAGTAACCTGGTACGGCATCAGAAGGAGAGAGCCAATTGAGCGGCCAAGGCGGTTTGCCCAGCTTGTAGGGCATGCTTTTCACGGACGACAGCGCGGGATAAGCACATAATTAACCAGAGTTGCGGTCGAATTCGGCGCTATTCCAACGGCCGGATTCGTCCTCAGTTTGCCAGAGCTTTGGAGGCCACCACAGGTGCAATGATACAGTCCACCTGTAGATTTGGTAGCCCTATTGGAGCCACTGTATTGTAATCATGATCGAAGCTCAGCTCTCATTACACAGCTCGCTTTGAAATATTTAGTGCTCCCTAGTTCGAGAGTCACTAAAAAGCTTTGCTAGGGCCATACCGAAAGAGGGCCGATATCACAGGGGTTGTTTTCTTGGTTTAAGTTTGGTGGCCGTCTGTCAGACATAAAGATAAACGCAGAAGCATTTAAATCGAATAAATTGAGGTAAAATCAAGTTTTCTTCCCACACAACCCTGCACCATTGCGGACGACAGATAGAAGTGAAGACTAGAAGAAAGCTGCAACTTTCTCTATCAATCAGCGGTATTTGTTCGATGTAACGGTGTTTAGTTTAATATGGATATCCTCAAACCATGAAACTGTTGCCACCCGTAAAATAATGAAGATGCTGGACTATTCCCTAATCTATCTCAGCTGAAATGGGTTTCGATGGTAAAACGAAACAGATCATGCGTGCTGTTTGCGTCGTACTGTGGTTCTTCCACCCATGCATAGTACCACGTTGAATAAAAACATCTCCTTGCCGAAGGAAACGGGACTCTCCACTGTCTAAGGCTAACTCGACTGTGATTCCTTGAGGTTAGAAATTATACCTGTTAAGTGGAAATGACAGAAGGGTGGTGGGTGAAATCAGGCTTACTCTCCCCAGCAATCATCACACCAATATCAATACTTTGTGTACGGTGTAGTCTTGAGTCGGTGCTAGGAGCCCACTCCGCCATCAGGACCACACTGCCCTCCTTGGGGATTAAGGCTGCTAGATCACGAGTTTCGTGTTCGAAGATGTCTTTGGCATCGACCAAATCGAGAGCCTTACTAGATGACGTGCTGTAGATAATGCTTATTCTGTCATTGAATGGTTTGAGCGCCGGGCTGGCCCGAAACACCGATTTACCATCTCTATCGTGGGTGGTTGTGATCACGGTTGTGAAAGACGGCATAGTCAAGAGTGGAGTGAAATGTAGGCGGTAAAGGAACTTATATGCAAAAATTGGTCTTTATCAAAGATATACTCTCATGCACTCACGGCTTCCACTTTGTAAAGTCTGCCCCTATGTGACGAAAAACTCCGTGTGCCGAAAATGACCAATCGGATCATGAGGGTCGTAGAGAAGCGTGTCATCCTTGCGATCCGGTTGGTCATTTTCGGCACACGGAGTTTTTCGTCACATAGGGACAGGCTTTACACGCGTTTCAGTTGTTATCTCGCACAAGACATTGATTCGCCCAGTGTAAGCTTGCTCAGAAGAGGCTTAGGCGCAATATATATTTTACTTTGATCAGCTCGGGTATCGAGGAGAAGATTGACCCATGGCATCGCTGACAAGAGCTAGCACTATCACCATGAAACGAAAGAGGCTTAGCATAGGATTAAAAGTCGCCTGCTCACAAAAACCGGAAGCTGCAAATGCATGAAAATGTACTTAGTGAGTAGTCTCATCCTTCGATCCTTCGATCCTTCGATCCTTCGATCCTTCGATCCTTCGATCCTTCGATCCTTCGATCCTTCGATCCTTCCATCCTTCTTGTTGTCGTTTATTGTATCAATCTCTGATTGAGCTAGCTATGTACAGTCATCAGCGATCGCTTGTTAGTCCGACGTGAGAGCCGATGCCCCGACCTTGATAATCAGACTCCGCAACAATCAATCGATCGACATGATTGATTCCTATATAGGTTAAAGAGTTACTTTATTAGGCAGCCTTTAACCTAGATAGGAATCAATCATGCCGATCCGATTGATTGTTGCGGAGTCTGTTGATAATCGATAGTCAAAGTCTGGTTTTGAGATTAAACAGCTTCGGATCGACGCAGCGTTCTACATTCTTTCTCGCAATGGCCTCAGATGCCCAAGACATAACCCATATAGAGTCTCTCAACGACCCTAATGAATTCTGGACACGCCAAGCGAAACAGTTAACATGGCACAAGGCTCCTACCACTGCTTTGCGAATGACGAGAAAGCAGCTGAAGTGCGGCAACTCACACGCATCATGGACCTGGTTCCCAGACGGCAAGATATCGACCTCCTATAACTGTGTCGATCGACATGTCGATGCAGGCAACGGCGATAAGACAGCCATCATCTGGGACTCACCAGTCTCCCGCAGTAAACAGAAGATTACCTATGCTGAATTACAGGAGGAGGTCGCGATTATGGCGGGCGTGTTACGAGAAGAGGGCGTTCAAAAGGGCGATGTCGTGGTGATCTACATGCCAATGATTCCAGCCGCATTAATTGGGATTCTGGCTACGATACGACTAGGTGCAATCCACGCTGTTGTCTTTGGTGGTTTCTCATCCACGAGTCTGGCGCAGAGGATCGAAGCTTCGCATCCGAAGGCTATCCTCACTGCAAGCTGTGGTATCGAGGGAGTCAAAGGCCCGCTTCCATACCAAACACTAGTTCAAGCTGCGATTGCGCAGTGCGATTTCAAGCCCCAAAGGACCATAATATGGCAACGGGCAGAGAGTAGCTGGGATGATATATGCGAAGTCGACGGAGAGCGAAGTTGGCAGTGTCTAGTTCAGAACGCAAAAGTACACGGCATTAGCGCAGAGAATGTGCCTATAAATAGTCATGAAGGGCTGTATATTATATACACAAGCGGCACTACCGGTCAGCCAAAGGGTGTTTTGAGAGAAGCAGGTGGGCATGCAGTAGGATTGAACTTAAGCATACGTCATATGTTTGGTGTACAGGGGCCTGGAGACGTTATGTTTGCTGCTAGCGATATTGGATGGGCTCTTGGACACAGCTACATCCTATATGCGCCACTGCTAGCTGGTGCAACAACGGTACTATTTGAAGGTAAGCCAGTCGGAACACCGGACGCTGGGACTTTCTGGCGCATTGTCGAGGAGTACCGGGTCACTTCGATGTTCATGGCACCGACCGCGCTGCGGGCAATCCGCCAAGCGGATCCTCAAAACTCGCTCTTTAAAGCGCGTGGTGTAGTAGGAGGGCTGAAGCATCTTCGCGCACTTTTCTTAGCGGGCGAGAGGAGCGAGCCGAGCTTAATTAACATGTACACAGAGCTGCTGGCGACATATTGTGCACCAGGGGCCTCAGTTATTGATAATTGGTGGTCGACCGAGTCCGGATCGCCTATCACTGGAATTCCTCTGATGCCAGCAGCTGGCATGTTTTACGAGCTTGAAAGCACCAAGATCCCCAGCAAGACGATCCCGATCAAGCCCGGTAGTGCAGGCAAACCAGCTCCAGGCTTTGACGTTCGCATCGTCGACGACGCCGGGAATGAGCTGCCGCGAGGAAGCATGGGCAACATTGTCCTTGGCCTCCCGCTTGGCCCGACTGGTCTCACCACCCTCTGGCAGGACGAGGTGTCTTTCTACCATAGTTACCTCGAACGGTTCAATGGACAGTGGATGGACACAGGAGATGCAGGCATCATTGACTCAGACGGCTATGTGCACGTAATGTGCCGCAACGACGACTTCATCAAAGTCGCGGCGCACCGCCTGTCTACTGGCGCCATGGAGCAATCCATCTCTTCACACCCTGCCATCACGGAAGCATGTGTTGTGCCTCTCTTGGATCACATTAAAGGGCATGTGCCAATTGCATTCATTGCCATTGAACGTCACAGTACAACACCTCCTGATCTGCTCGAGGATCTTAATCAGCGTCTTCGGCTTTCAATCGGACCGATTGCTAAGCTAGGTGGCTATATTGCTAGTCCTGGCATTATTCCAAAAACCCGTTCAGGCAAGATGTTGCGACGGGTACTAAGGGAGATCTTAGAGAATGCTACTGCCGGCGAGTTTGAGAAAGAGATCGACGTTCCTGCAACGGTTGAGGATTCTGGCGCTGTGGGAAAAGCAAAGATGGCTGTCAGAGAGTTCTTCATTATGGAAGAAAACTCGAAGTTGCATAGCAACGGCTTTTTAGTGCAGGAAGAATCTGCTAAACAGTAATCAAGTGTTCAATGTGCCTTCCACAGAGTATTCAACGCTGCGGCAAGGCCCCTGTTTTAAACTTGAAATCTTGAATTTGGAGTTCCATTGCAGTTAGGTCCAGTCACTTTTTGTCTAGTCCAAGAGTATTGTAAGACAAGATGATGAAATACACTTGAATGCACTCAGCAGGTACACTGGCTAGCGATTGCGGCTTCACCCTTACACGCAGCTGCGCAACGGTTTTTGACAGCCCCATGTTCTGTACATGGCTTAGCGCTAGATGTCTGCCGCAAGATAGCTGGTTTGATTTGTAACAGTACAAGCAGTGAGAGAAAGTTGCTATGCATTTTCTGATGTCTTGTTCTGTTCTGCTGTGATGATGGCCTTTTATGGGGCCATCATACTAGTCTGTTTACATGACGTATCTGTGACATGGATAGGTGTAGAAGGTGCTTATCAGTAAGAGGAAGAACCATCTCGCCAACACGTGGCACCTAGGATGTCCTTACCCCATGAACCGTCACATGATTGGCCAGTTGTCGATCTAACGGTGACTGATTTTGTGGCATGCTACACGAAGAGGTGAAGCCACAATCCTTAATGACCGTATTGATGTTTGCAAAGATAGTTAAAGTCCGTCCCTATGCGACGAAAACCCCCGTGTGCCGAGAATGACCAACCGGATCGCAAGGATCACACACTCCTCTACGACCCTCGTAATCCGATTGGTCATTCTCGGCACACAGGGGTTTTCGTCACATAGGGACAGACTTTACAGAGCTAAGTCTACATGGGTATATACATCAGTCATTTTGACGTGGGATCGTAACTAATGACGTGGGATCGTAACTAATGACGTGGGATCGTAACTAATGACGTGTAACAATTAATGCAATGATAACACGTCAACAAATCATTTAGATTAGGCTAGACCGAGAAAAATTAGCAAAATGATTTTTACAGTTTCACAATAGTTGCCGTGGCTAGCGATTGCGGCTTCACCCTTACACGCAGCTGCGCAACGGTTTTTGACAGCCCCCCCATGTTCTGTATATGGCTTAGCGCTAGATGTCTGCCGCAAGATAGCTGGCTTGATTGGCCAGTTGTCGATCTAACGGTGACTGATTTTGTGGCATGCTACACGAAGGGGTGAAGCTACGACCACTAATGACTGTACACTCCGCAAGTTAGTTATAGAGGGCCCTACTTCCATATTTTCTTTAGTTAGTTCTTAACATCACCCTAATCAGACTGTCGGGAGATATTCTTCTCTTCAGGCTATATAACTAGTTATTGTCTTTCATGTTCCGGTGCTATAAAATCTTAGACTATAGATTCACTGATGGCTTCCAAGCACCCCATAGCCAGCAAAACTACATCATTAATTAGAAATCGGGTCAATGGGAGTATAGCTGCCTCGCTGGCTGTCAGAGATAATGTCGTCGCTTCCAAGGATATTTCAAACGATCAAGCGCAGCGTGAAAGTGCTTCTGAGCCTCACGGTCAAATAACATGGATTATTCTGGCGGCTTCTTGTGGGGTAAGGTTTGACTCTTCTACTCGGTTCCATCCAATGATTTTCGATATTAACGCTTGACTGTAGGTTTTCCTAGCTGCTGCCAGACTCCGCAACAATCAATCGGATCGGCATGATTGATTCCTATCTAGGTTAAAGGCTGCCTAATGAAGTAATTCTTTAACCTATATAGGAATCAATCATGTCAATCGATTGATTGTTGCGGAGTCTGGCTGCTGCAGAAAAGACTATGACTGTCGCCATCTATGGCAAGGTCGGCAGTGATCTCAATGCTCTAAGCCACATTAACTGGCTTGCGACTGCATATTTCCTTACACTCACAGTTCTTGAGCCGATATATGGACGCTTAAGCGAAATATTTGGTCGGAAGCAATGTCTTCTTTTTGCTTATATGTGTTTTGGATTTGGCAGTCTACTCTGTGGGTTGGCTCGAGATATTCGGCAACTTGTTACAGCGAGGGTATATGCGTCTCTCTATGGATTACAATAATCACTACTAAAACTAGCTAGGTAATTCAAGGCATTGGAGGGGGGGGCATGACCTCTATTGTAAGCATAATCATAGGTGAACTGGTCCCATTACAGGACCGAGGTGTTTGGCAAGGAAAAATCAATATCATCTACGGTTTTGGTGCTGCGTTTGGGGCACCTCTAGGCACGTATTCTTGCCATCATACATATACAAATGCTAAAGCTAATATTTTTTAGGTGGTATATCAGCGGATTACCTTGGCTGGCGTTGGTAGGTTTAGGCTTTTTCCCTTGCCCCTACACGCACATTTCTGATTTTCATAGGGCGTTTCTGGCGCAAGCCCCAATCTGCCTAGCAGCATTCACTACGGTACTAACCCTCCTAAAGCTCCCTCAACAAGATAGGAGCAACTGCTGGATGAACTTGCAACGCATCGATTTCCTTGGTGCAATCATTCTAGTTGCTGCAAACATTGGCCTCCTCATCGGCATGAATCGAGGGAGCAATGTCTCGTGGACTTCACCCATTACCATTGTTTCACTGACCGCATCGTTGGCTTCCTTCCTTATATTTGGCATTTTCGAAGCCTACGTCGCAGCTGAACCACTTGTTCCGTTACACGTTATTTTTGACAGCAAGATGGTCGCATGTTATGCATGCCTCTTCTTCGGCTTTGGGTCATGGATAGCCTTGATCTACAATTCGGTTCTTTTCTTCCAGGCTGACCAGGGCGTTTCGGCGACTGCGGCTTCCATTCGACTGATTCCACCTTGTATATGTGGAGTTTCCGGCTCGTTTATTGGGGGTTGGTTCATACGGCGGACTGGAAAATTTTACTGGACCATCGTTTTTGCGTATAGTTTGATGACAACAGCTTTGGCAGTAGTCTTTGTGTTCTCTCGAAATATAGCGACCAACACTGGATTGATGATTGTTGGTATTTCTATGTGTGCCTTTAGCAACGGCATGGGAACGACAGGAACCTTGATTGGTATCAGTATGCTATATTGCACGGTTTTAAAGAAGGGACCTTAGCTGACTTCTACCTAGTCTCAAATGCAGATCTAAAAGATCGAACAATGGTTACAGCCTATTCGTATCTTTTTCGTTCTCTAGGATGTGTGATCAGCTTGTGTTTGTCCTCTGCGGTTATTCAGCAATCACTGCGCAATCGTCTAAGAGACACCGTGAAGACAAGCACAGATATTGAGCAAATTATCAAGGGAGTTCAGCATAGTCTGGAATTTATCCAGACTCTTGAACCAGATATACAAAAAGCTGTACGAGATTGCTACGGATGGTCTATTAATCTAGGTTTTACGTTCATCATCGGGATGGCGTCCTTTGCATTCTTTAGCGCCTTTTTTGTAAGGGAATGCAATTTAAAGAGGTAGATTCTTGGGCCCAATGGCTGCTGTAACAGAATTACAATGAAATTGCCCGTGCTCCGCACGGGCCATCACATCAACGAGATCGTCGCTGGGCGATGATCACATGACTTGGCATCCTGCCAAGGATGGGGATGCCATGAGGATATGGGATGACAGGACTGGGAAGCAATGAAGATATGAGGATGGATGGATTTCATTATTAAATTGTACTTTCTTACTATTTAGTTCCTGTGCTAGCTCCTAGGATCTGGCCACCTCATTTTCTCTTGTATGACTCAAAGCACTGGAAACACGGAATTCTTAGATAGCTACTCGCCCCATGGAGCCCAGTTCTGCCCAACTACTCGGGCCCAACGGCTGCTGTAGCAGAATTTCAATGAAATTGCCCGTGCTCCGCACGGGCCTATCACCTCAATGATAACACGTAGCTTTTAATACATACATGCACCACAACAACGCATAATTAAATAAACTTAACTACGCATATCGTTTCTACCATGCCTAAGGTCAATAAGGGAAAGTCTGTATATAAAGAAGAGGTGGTGGCGTTGCAAAAGCACGCTGAAGCGTTACGCCTACTCTATCAACCTAACATTAAAAGCTATGCAACTACCCATAACTTGCCATATCAGCGCCTGCGACGCGCCTATCTTGGACTTTCGAATCGCTGCAATCGCGCTAAGCCACCTGCTTTATACCGGCTTAATGAGTCTCAAGATTTCGCTCTTGAGCGGTACCTTAATGCTATCGATAATATTGGCTTTGGTATTCATCGTGGACTAGTTGAGCAGCAAGCAAACTCACTCCTTGAGGATGCGTACACAGGACTAGATGAAGTTGCTCCTAAGTTTGGCAAGCTTTGGGCACGACGATGGCTCGCAAGGCACCCAAAATATAGACGTGTAAAGGCAAAGTCAATTGAGGTACAGCGTAAGCTTGCCCAGGAGCCAGCAACGCTCCTTGACTGGTATACCAGGCTTAAAGACCTTATCGAAGAGCGCGGTATCTTGCCTGAAGATATATATAATATGGATGAGACAGGCTGCCGCATTGGTGTTGCAAAAGAGCAGTACTTATACACCAAAAATGGACGTACGGTCTTTATCCACAACGCCAACAATCGCGAGCTTATTACGCTTGTTGAGTGTATCCGGGCTACAGGCGAGGTTATTCCACCTCTTATTATCGTCAAAGCTGCTACTGTGATGGAGCATTGGATTGTTGTGACGGTTCATGGGGTAAGGACATCCTAGGTGCCACGTGTTGGCGAGATGGTTCTTCCTCTTACTGATAAGCACCTTCTACACCTATCCATGTCACAGATACGTCATGTAAACAGACTAGTATGATGGCCCCATAAAAGGCCATCACCACAGCAGAACAGAACAAGACATCAGGAAATGCATAGCAACTTTCTCTCACTGCTTGTACTGTTACATACCTTGCTGGTACTACGCCAACAAAACGTAATTCCGTTTGGTGCGTCAAATGCCTCCGGCTGGCGAGACTTGTCCCACGTTGAGACTTGTTATTAGCACTGGTCAGCACTAACGTGTTCCACCAGTCATCCGGCCACACCAGTTATCAGACCACCTTTCCAAATCTGACCCGACGCTCTGCGCAATTGCGCTGCGCCTTTTATATGCCATGCATCATTAGTTGAGTTTAGTAGGATAATCCGCTTGCCAATAGAACACATTAGACACAGACCGTCTGCTTAGCAGAAGTGAAGAACTTTTGGGTTTATAGAACAAAGGACACATTACATATGTATGTACTAGCTCGCTACCGCTATAAATCTGTGATGAAAACCCCTATATCTTTCAATCTTGGGAGCCCTGCAACAGAAGGCGCATCTCTCTAAGTCCCCATTGCCCCAAATGCTGTTGGATGAACTCAATACAACGTAAGAACGATTGTTTGCGACGATAACATGCTTCACTCTCTAGATGCTAAGCTAATCCACTGAGGGTTGTAAATTGCTTTCCTTTCCCGTGCTTTGTTTCAACCCTGGTGGAGTCGATTGGAAGGAGGTCACGTGGGCAGCGGTAGATCTTATTATAGTGTGCTGGAGAGACTGTATACTTCTGAAAAGCCTGTACTGTACGAAAGGCTTTAGGTTTTCTCAGACAAAGCGGACAACCGAGTCCAGGCTTAATTCCGTCAATCACGTGGCTCCCTCCAAGCGAGAGAAGGCTATCCTCAAGCGGCGACCAATCTACTAGGCTATGCTCCACGTTACCCTAAGAGTGCGTAGCAGTGACTAGTAGCCAGCTATCTAAATTATCGAGAGACGTGGTCGGCGTTCCGGAATAAGGAGACTAACCATATACCAACAAGTAAGTAGAGCTCGAAGGTATAAGTGCTAGGATGGTATAGATCGCATGATCTTTATCATACAGTTAAACAATATGTAGATATCATCGCGGTTCATGCCTAGACAGCACCTTCCACTTTCCAGATAGTTCAGCAGAGCTTAAGGCGCACTAAACTTTCCTCAGCATCCCTCTCCTATAGGGAGACTTAAAGCGCTAAGTAGCTTATAATTTATCAACTTACAATGTTACTAAAAAGTCTAGGTAGATAGAAAGTTTCGCCGGCATCTCTTGCATATCTAATCACCCACACTCACCGCAGTGGCCTTTTCCGCCTTTGTTACATTATCATAGGGCTTTTGCTGTAGAGGCTTCTTATGCGTACGGCTCGCCATATGTGCGTTTAAAGCGTACTCGCCCCACGGAGCCCAGTTCTGCCGAACTAGGCCCTACCCAGCTCAACGTCAATTCCATCTACCCACACGATTTGTATCGTAAATTGACCACGCAAACACGTAGAATATTATATATTCGTTAAAGCCACTGATTAAGAGGTATCTTCCAGTGTATAAGATGCATTACTGGTGCCTGTTGACTTGGTGTTGAGGCCTCTGCAGAGGCAGGTGTTGGCTGCTGGGTGGCATCTCGGAGGCGCCGTCTCGTCTCCCTCACAGCCTCACGTACAGCCTTTTGCTCAGCGATTTTAGCTTTTTGAAATACGGCCTCTCGCGAACCTCTAGCTGTAACTACACCTCCTTTCTGAATCGTTAATCGCGAGTTGTCCTGGCGCTGAGCCCTCTCGCGGGCAGCAATTTTAGTCTTGGCAAGCTCACGAGTCGCGAGATCGTAGTTCAAACCTAGTACAACTGACGCCCTAGCAAGTCGCGCAGCCCGATTACTTAGTATATGCTCAGTATAATTACAGAGCTCTTGCGTTTTACCAGCGTACGCAACAAAGGAGCGAGGAGTTGTAGGCGTAGGCGTCTCGGAGGCTTGAAAGAGATAGCTCATTTCCTCGGGTGTTGACACCCTCCGTGGGCGCGTGAGCTTATATAATACTCTCTCAGGATCCCATGGCCAGACGCCTGCTAATTCAAAAACGTTTTGAACAGTACTAGATTTGAATGTATGTCTTCTAACGCCATCAATTGCGTGTAGAAACTCGAGCTTGTTGAAATCAGTGCAGCCCTCGCGAGCAGCATCCTCAACGACGCCTCTGTAGTGCTTCTTGTATGCTTGAAAAACACCAACGTCAAGAGACTGTAGGTTGTGAGAGGTATGGGAGGGGAGCGAGAAAAGTACTATATTGTTGTCGTCACAAAAATCGATCAGCTCCTTTGTGCCATGGGATCCAAATCCGTCAAAAATTAACAGCCTCCAGGTGCCTGTTTGACGGCGACGACTATAGGCGTCAAAGTGTCGAATCCACTCAAGAGAGAGCTCGTCGTTGTTGTAAGCTGTCTCTGAGACAGCCACTATGTAGTCGTCAGGCAACTTTGTGTTGGTGTGCCATTTTGAGAGGTGCGCTTTGCCCTTGAGAATGATGAATGGTGCCAGAACTGAGCCGTCAGCAGCGACAGTCTCGACGACTGTAACAGACTCGCGATTTGTATCAGACGGTGACTGTACAGCATCATCGTCGCCAGCCATTGTTATAACGTACTGCTGGCCTCCAGCGCCCATACGGATATCTGTCTCGTCCATAATATATAGATCTCCAGGTTGTATAGCGTACTCATCAATTGCGCGCTTTAGAGCGGCAAAGTGCCTCTCGTAGACCTCTACTGTATTAGCTGCTAGGCGTTTTATTTCCTGCTTTTTCTGCTTCTTGCGGCGGCAGTCTGGGTTGCGCGCCAGCCATCGTGAGATCCAGTTTTTGCCTATGGGTGGTGCCTTGCCATCTGGGTGCTCGAGATCAAGGATCCGCTGCGCGGCAGAAATCAGCTGCGGAATGAGAGGAGGCATGTATAACGCGTCGCAGCGAGTAATATAGGCCTTTAGGGCATCCTCCTGTTGTTAATTGAGCGTTCGATTTGGTGCAGCGCGCTCTATTTTTGATGCGCGGCCTGAGACGCGCTTTTGGAGCCTGCTGTAGGGCACATGATGAAAGGACCAAGAGATACACATCTACGCAGACAACCAAGCGGCCATATATAGGCTCCAAAGCCTATCAGATAATCCAGGACAACAATGGCTACTGCGATGCATCAAAGCAGCGAAGAGAATCCAACACAAAGGAGCAACTATCCACCTACGATGGGCACCAGGTCACACCGACGTCGAAGGAAACGAAAGAGCCGACTACCTAGCTAAGGAAGCCGCGAAAGAGGAGCCCAGCACAACAACAATCAGCCTTGCCTTTATAGGCACCCAAATCAGAGCAATACAGCAGAAGGAACAACACCAAGAGTACCAGACGTACAAGAAGAAAGCTACGCTAGCAAACAAGCAAACCTACGCTGCTACATTCCAGCTTAAGCTGTCGAAAACAATACAGACGCCAAGAGGATCGAAAAGAGAGATCACGAGCGCCTTCTACTCTCTTAAGCTGGGCCACGGATACTTCAACTCCTACCTCAAGCGATTCAAGAAGAGAGATTCCAGCCTCTGTAGTTGCGGGAGCCCACAAACGCCAAAACACCTTCTACTGGCCTGCCGACTATACAAGGAAGAACGAAAAACACTACAAGAATGTCTACAACACAGAATTACCCTACCTCTCCTTCTACACACTAGAGCTGGAATAGAGGCTACAATAGCCTTCATTGAAAGCACTAGAATCGGAACAAGACAGTGGCACCTAGGGCAAGAAGCAGCAACCTGAAAAGAAGAAGAAAAACAGCGACACGACAGAGAGAAACTGTATAAAACTAAGTATCGAAACTTCTCCTATGTCCACTACCCTACACACCATCTCCTTTGCCATAAGAGCCCGCTGGAAGACAGCTAGCTGTACTACATCTCTTTCTACTACACCAAGATGCTCTTTAGCGACTGGTAGCCACTAGAGACACCTGTCTCTACAGCAGAAAACCACAACCCCACAGCGTACCATTCACTCCTACCTTGCACAATAGAACACGAAGATAGAACGGCCTTCGGCCAAAGTCCTACATAGTCACTGACTGATAAAGGACTCTAATGGAATAATAATAATAATAATAATAATAGGGCACATGATTATAGTCTGCTACTGCGCGTATAGAGGTGCCGGACGGGCCAACGCCGCGGACGGGCCAACGCCGGATTACGTCCTCCAACACCAATTATTCTATCCACTTCAACCACCCATAACGTGACCACAATGCAATCAATTGACGCTGCGCTTGCTGCTATTAACGCGCTAAAACCTAATGAAAAGCTTGTATACTCTCAAATCGCGAAAAAAAATATGGTGTTGATCCAGGAACGCTGAGCCGCCGCCACCGAGGTAACGTGTCTGTGCGCGTGATGCCCATAATCGCGTGCCGCACACCCCGCAACATCAACACCAATCCACCCTTACCACTTCAACCACCCATAACTCCACAACCATGAGTTGTATCAACGCTGCGATTGAAGCTATTGAATCGCGTGATCCCGGAGATAAATTTACATACTCTGAGGTTGCGCGCCGCTTTGGTGTTGATCGCTCTACGTTGTCGCGACGCCATCAACAGATCCGGGGCTCAAATGAAGCCAAATCACGTAATCAGCAACTCCTTCACCCACACCAGGAGCTACAGCTTCTAGAGCACATTGACGAGCTTACTGAGGCTGGCTTACCACCGACGAGGACTATGATCCAGAACTTTGCTAGTGCTATAGCCGGAAGGGCTACCTCCCAAAGCTGGGTGACGCGCTTCTTTCACCGTCATCCCGACGCGATTATATCACGTTGGTCAACTGGTTTGGACCGCAATCGCCACCGGGCTGATTCTGTATACAAGTACGAGTCGTACTTTGATCTACTATCTACTAAAATGGCTCAGCACCATATTCGGGCGCAGGATGTATATAATATGGATGAGAAGGGATTCCTTATTGGAGTGACGGGGAGGAGTAAGAGAGTGTTTAGTAAGCAGAAATATGAGACTGGGGGCTTTAAGAAAGTGATACAGGACGGCAACAGAGATTGGATCACTGTTATCGCTGCTATATGTGCTGATGGGAGTACGTTACCGCCCGCGATTATATACGAAGCTACTTCGGGCAACATGTACGCCAGATGGGTTGATGATATCGCAATTGACGATCCAGTCTACGTTACCTCAAGTCCCTCAGGGTGGACCAATGATCAGGTAGGCCTGGCATGGCTCGAACAGGTGTTTGATCGCCATACGAAGGAGAAGGCCGGCAATCACACACGCTTACTCATCCTTGACGGCCATGGGAGTCACGTTACTATGGAGTTTATTGACTATGCGATCGCCCACAATATTATGTTACTCATACTACCCCCCCATAGTACCCATACGCTGCAGCCACTCGATGTGGTAATGTTCAAACCTCTGGCAGCCGCGTACTCACTCAGCTTGCAGCACTACCTCCAGGCGAGCCACGGTCTCTTAGCTGCGAGGAAGGATGACTTCTACCGTCTTTTCAAGCCTGCCTGGGACTCCTCTTTCATTAAGAAGCACGCGTTGAAGGCATTTAAAGCCACTGGGATAGCTCCTATAGATCCCGAAGTAGTACTTAAAAAGTTCCGAAAGTCAACACTAACAGCACCGCCGCCACTAGTGAACGTGAGTAGAGCTACTATCACGAACCTCATTAATCAGGCCTACGATCCGAGCTCTATTGCGGCCAACAACCTCTCAGAAATACTCCTCCGCCTCCAGGCTGCCAAAGAGATCGCCGAGTACGAGAAGGACGCACTGCGCGCGGCGCTACACGTTCACCAGAAGCCCCGCAATCGGCACGAACCTCCCCTAGATCTACAGCAGCGAAAAGCGTTCCATTCAGGGGCAGTTTGGTGGTCGCCGTGCAAGCTTCGAGAGGCCCGCTTCAGGCAGCTAGTGAAGGAGAAGGAGAAGGAGAAAGAGCTACTTGATAAGATAGAGTTGAAAGAGGCAAAGGAGAACAACAGGATCTATCAACTTAAGATCAAAGAGGCAGCGCGGGCGGCGCGTGAGGAGGCAAAGAAGGTGCGGGATGAAGCCAAGGCTGTAAAGGCTGCCGAACTTGACGCCAAACGACGCGATCGCGACGCTGCAAAGGCTATACAACAACCCCAATCGGGCAAGCGTAAGGCTTCAAAGCCCGCTGCAAAGCAACAGCCAAAAAAACGACGCGTGGGTGGTGCTGGCGGTGGCACTCTGGCTGAGGTGGCTGCACCGGCTCCCCCACCAACAACCACCCGACGCGGCCGGGCCGTCAATACTCCGGCAAAATATAGATAGACAAAGTTGTAGAGCTACGTCTATAGATCAATACACCGGAAAATCTCGCGATAATAGTTATTGTACGTGGCTGCACAGCCTCAACTTTGCCGTCGTCGCGATATTGGTGGGGTGTGCGGCACGCGATTATGGGCATCACGCGCACAGACACGTTATTTCTAGCTCTAGACAAGCAGCTGCACCGAATCAGCAGGCAGTCCACCCACAACATAAAGCTGAGCTTATCGATTATAATTATTAATGTTTTGGAGGTGGTTAGAAGATTCTTCTTTTTAGCACGCACGCATCTTAGTGGGGTGTTGCATTGGCTGAACTGTTGCACACACTGACCAAATACAGTATAGCTGCTAGTCCAGCTTTAAAAGAAAATCATGGTGGGAGCCAAGACAGTCGGCCCGATAGACACCCTTGTCAGTGAGAACTTTTGAAAGGCATCTCTGTACACATTAGTTATTTTGACGTGGGATCGCAATCAATGACGTGTAATGATTAATGCAATGATAACACGTCAATAACTCATTTAAATTAGGTTAGACCGAGAAAAATCAGTCAATAAAATGATTTTTACTGTTTCGTAGTACATAGTTATGTACAGTCATTAGGGATTGTGGCTTCACCTCTTCGTGTAACATGCCACAAAATCAGTCACCGTTAGATCGACAACTGGCCAATCAAACCAGCTATCTTGCGGCAGACATCTAGCGCTAAGCCATATACAGAACGTGGGGCTATCAAAAACCGTTGCGCAGCTGCGTGTACACTCTCATGCACTTGCAGCTTCCGGTTTCTGTAAGCAGGCGGCTTTTGATCCCATGCTAAGCCTCTCTCATCCAATAGTGACCTTACCCAAATAGTGCTAGCTCTTGTCAGCAATGCCACGGGTCAATCTTCTCCTCAATACTCCGGCCAATCAAACGGAGATACCTATGGAGTCTAAGCCTCTTCTGAGCAAGCGTGTACTGGGAGAATTGATGGCCCATGCAAGATGACAATTGAGCCGCGTGTGCAAAGCGGAAGCTGCAAGTGCATGAGAGTGTAGGGGTGAAGCCGCAATCGCTAATGACTGTAGTCCCAACCAATCCAGCGTTCAACCTACCGATGCCCCGCAATGCATATTATTACCACAATGACGTGTAAAGTCAACAAATCTTACATTCTATACGGTACTAGCTCATCTAATCGGTGAAGGTTTGGATCAAATAACCACATGCATTGGTTCTGGAATCTTCTCTTCAGCTTTGCTATTAAGTCCAGCTCCGATGAAAGCGCTACATAGCAAACGAAAGTACTTTAAAATCATCCATACAATACATCAATTCTTTCGAATCAAGAAGATCAGCCTAAGAAAATTCCACTGCATCCAGTATGACAGATATCACGACTTGCTTTCCCAAGGACGATCCCGTACCACACGAGGCACCATCTCTTTCGACAGAACCACTAGCAATTATCGGTGTCGCTTGTCGATTTGCTGGAGATGCAACAGATTGTGGAAATTTGTGGAAATTCTTGTCAGAAGGAAGATCTGCTGTGGGCACTGTACCTGAGAATCGATTCAAGGTTGCAAGTTACTACCATCCAGATCCAGAACATGGTGGAACTACTTGCACAACTCGTGGCTATTTTTTGAAAGACAACATATACTCGTTCGATACATCTTTTTTCAAGTTGCCAGAGAACGATATCACAGCAATGGACCCCCAGCAAAAGCTTCTCTTGGAAAACGTCTATCATGCTCTTGAAAATGGTACAGGACCGTCCATCCTCTCTCCACTCATTGCGATGAGATATTCGTATATCTGCTAACCATGCCCAATGAGGTTCACAGCTGGCCTATCTGCCAAAGACGTGGCTACTTCTCGAACATCTGTATTTGTCGGAAGCTCAAATAACGATCACCTGGCCTTTGCTAACGAAGACCTTGAGATGTGCTATAAGAACAAAGCTACAGGAACGAGCCCATCAATCCTGGCCAATAGAATTAGCTGGTTCTATGACTTGCGAGGGACAAGTCAGACGATTGATACAGCATGCTCGAGCAGTCTCGTAGCTTTCCACCAAGGCTGCCTGAGTGTCAGATCAAAAGATTCTGACATGGTATGGTAACACCACAATTCACATGGTAATATGCTGATATTATGGTTAGTCAATTATAAGCGGAGTCAATGTTATTGAACACCCAGCAGCTTTTCTTCAGTTAACGAACCTTGGCGTACTCTCGCCTGACGGTCAATGCTTTAGTTTTGATCATCGTGCAAATGGTTATGGTCGTGGTGAAGGCGTTAGCACCCTCATTGTAAAACCACTCAGCTCCGCAATTCAGGATGGAAACGTTATTCGCGCAATCGTTCGTGCAACGGGAACGAGTCACGATGGCAAGACTCCAGGAATTACACTACCAAGTCAGACAGCGCAGGCTGCTCTGATTCGAAGTGTCTATGCTAGTGCACATCTAGACATGGATCAGACAGCGTATGTTGAAGCACACGGTACCGGAACTCAGGTCGGGGATCCCTTGGAGATCGAGGGCATTGTATCTGCCTTTGAAACCAGAGCAAGGCAACGACCACTTTATATCGGATCAATCAAGGCAGGTCTAGGCCACCTAGAGGGGGGCGCTGGGCTAGCTGGGTTGGTCAAAGCTGTTCTCATGCTGGAACAGCAGGCGATTCCACCAGCTGTAAACTTGGAGAAAGTTAATCCTAATATACCGACAGATGCAAACATTCAATTTGCAAAGCACCAAATTCCCTGGCCTTGCACAGGAGTCCGTCGAGTATCGATTAACTCGTTTGGGTTTGGGGGTACTAATGCACATGTGGTGCTCGACGACGCCGACAATTACAGGAACTCATCAACCCGAACGAGGAACGGTAAGCAGCATTAATCCTCCAATATAGGGCAACCCACAACTAAGTAGGCATAGATGATATTCTCGAAAGTGAAGATACCATTCCGAGTATCATTGAATCAAAAGAAACAGAGGATGGAGGAAAACCACTTGTATTTGTCCTTTCTGCCTCTGACGAACAGGATCTTCGAAAAGCCTCCGAAAAGCTTGCGACCCATATTAGGTCTGTTATAGGGTCCGAAAACATACGCTCAGAGACCCAATACCTCAAAGATCTTGCTTTCACTCTTTCGGAGAAACGTTCGGCGCTCAGATGGAGATCTTCCTTTGTCGCCAGCTCCTTAACAGAGTTGAGTTCTCGACTTACCGCTAAGAGTCACTCTGCCTTCCGTTCTGCCCTGAAAGAGGAACGGATCGCATTCGTCTTTACTGGCCAGGGAGCACAGTGGTTAGGCATGGGTTCAAGTTTGATGATCTATCCCGGCTTTAGAAAGAGCATCGAAGATGCGTCCTCTTATATGAAAAGACTCGGTAGTCCCTGGGTTCTCAAAGGCAAGCTCTACCTTTAACTCCATTACTAAGTTTAATAGAACCAATTCTAACTGCAAACCTATCTAGATGTATTTGAAGGACGCAATGAAGATCTTGACATCAATCATCCATTGCTGTCACAGTCCGCAGGTACAGCTTTACAAGTTGCCTTTGTTGACCTGCTAACTACTTGGAATGTCCTTCCGTCTGTTGCAGTGGGTCACTCCGCTGGTGAGGTTGCTGCAGCATATTGTGCAAGAGGTATTTCTCGCGAAGCCGCATGGAAAATTGGATATTATCGGGGTTATGTGTGCTCTAAACTAGACAAAGAGGACAAATGCGCAATGATGGCTGTTGGCGCGTCGATGGAAGTTGTTGGTAATTATTTAAGGAAATTGGAACCTGAAACAAGAAAAGGACTTCAAGTCGGTTGTTTCAATAGCCCCAAAAACATCACAGTGACCGGAATCCGGAGCAATATTCAGGACCTCCAAGCCATGTTAGAGAGAGACAATGTCTTTTCACGTCTGTTGCCTGGCCGAGTTGCGTATCACTCAGTGCACATGGAAGAAGTTGCCAATGAGTATGCATCATTGTTAGACGACCTTTCATATGGAGGAAAACTTGAAAGTTCTCAAGACATAAAGCTCGTCTCATCGCTTACCGGTTCGACCATCAACCCCAACGAAACAGCACGTGGGGACTATTGGGTTCGACATCTTCTACAACCAGTAAGATTTACGGATGCCATCATAGAGGCATGTTCAGACAGTGGCCAAGAGGGTACTGTTAGTGGTATACATGATATCATCGAACTGGGTCCACATTCTGCACTTCGTAGCGCGATCCGGGAGACTTTGTCGTCTACTTCACACCACAAGGACATTCGGTATTCACACTTGATTACCAGAAATCAAAAGAGCACTACGACAACCCTAGATGCAATGGGCGCTTTATATTGCCGTGGCTACCCCGTAATTCTGTCTGCAGTCAATTTCCCGTTGTCTGCTTCAGGCTTCATGCCTTCAACCATGTTGAATGATCTACCGCCATATTGTTTCAACCACGAGAAGGTCTACCAGCAAAGAAGTAGAATTATCAGCAACGTCCGAAACCGTCTTCATCCAAGAAATGAATTATTTGGATCCCGAGTGATTGATTGGGATGAATCTAATCCAAGATGGCGGAATTTCCTCCGGACATCCGAGTTGCCGTGGCTCAGGGAAAATAAGGCTAGTGCGACTTTATTTACACGAGTGCTTTCTAACTTACTAATCTTCTCCTAGATGAACAAAAAGATAATCTTCCCAGGCGTGGGCTACTTGCTCGCTGCTATAGAAGCAGCAAAGCAAGTTGCGGATCCAGCTCGTCGCGCTTCGGGATTTCGGTTGCGTGACGTTTCGATGACCGCCGCATTGGTCGTCCCAGACACAAGCGAAGGAATTGAAACAATGCTTAGCTTTCAGAAAGAGGATGTCAATAGCTCTGACTCTCAACCTTGGAGGTTTTCGATGAAATCATACGACAAGGACACAAATAGGTGGATAGAGCATTGCTCTGGCTATGTGATAGTAGAGTATATGTTTGTGCAAAATTCAATCGTTAGCGCAAGCGGAGCTGTTGGCACTGGCACGTCCGGCGCAGAGCAGCTTTTTGATTTAAGAGAACGATGCTCTCAAGAAGTCGACCTGGACCAGTTTTACCGGAAGTTGGATTCTATGGGAGTTGAATTCGGTCCACTGCTGCGGAACCTCAGGAACATCCGAGTATCAAAGAACTCAGAAGAATGTGAAGGGTTAGTGACAGTTCCCGGTGTTGCCGACTATATGCCGATGGGATACCTCCAGCCTCATACTGTTCACCCAGTTACCATGGAGAGCATGACTCATATTCTATTATTGATCTGCACGCCTGATACTGACTCTGTCGGATCGGAAATGTTAGCGACATATATGGAAGAGGTCTGGCTCTCTGCAGATATTTGTAATTTGCCCGGGCGTTCATTCCAGAGTTTCGGATCGACTGAACGGGTTTCACGGATTAAATGGAAGTCGAATGTCAGGGTATGGGATGATGAGATGAGAGAAGAGCAGATTTTCTTCAAAGGAATACACCTCCAACTCTTATCGAACAAATTGAACGATGGGCTAGAACAAGTCCAATGTTACAGCGCCTGTTGGCACCTGAGCACTGATCTGCTTACAACGGCCACAGCACTCCAGGATACGACGCAAAGAAAGCTTGCTGGGGAAGAACTCCGGAAAGTTCATGAAAAGTATCAACTCATAACAGCCCTTATGATATCAAAGGCTTTGGATGAATCGAAGTCCCTTGATCTTCAAGAACTGCATCCTCACCATCGCAAAATGCACACATGGATGCAATCTGAGTCCGCAAGGATTGCAAGAGACATAGACCCGCTTTGTGAAATGAAAATATTAGAAAGTTTGAAAACCGACCGAAAATCCAGAGAAGCACTCTATGACGAGGTCAGCATGGCTAGTCCGCGTGGCGAGCTTCTCGTCCGTATTGGCGAAAACATCATTCCGATTTTCAAGAAGGAAGTCAACCCTTTGGAGCTCATGTTCGGTGAAACCAATTTGATGCCTCGAACTTACGACCAGGGGTTTCCTGGTAGTATCAAGCCGCTACTCGCAAAATATCTTGAAGCTCTTAGTTTCAACCGTCCGAATTTACGTATAATGGAAGTAGGAGCAGGAACAGGCAGTGCAACCGAAGTGATCCTAGAGGTCCTTGGATCCAGAACAACTGCAGACCTTGCGAGCATAGGTCGGTACCATTTCACGGATTTATCAGGTGGATTTCTTGAACGCGCAAGGAAACGGTTTAGTAAATGGTCCAGCCTTATGGAGTACGACATCTTGGATATTGAGCGTGACCCTGCGGCTCAAGGGTTTCAGGCGGAGTCGTACGACGTTGTAGTAGCAACCCATGTGAGTTCTAAACTTCAGTTCAAGACTCTGTTTGCTTATAAGATCAATAGGTACTTCATGCGACTGCAGACCTGCAGAGAACACTGGCCAACGTCAGATCTCTTTTGAAGCCGTAAGTTAACCTGAAAACCCTCGTATGTCTTGACTATAGGACTGATTGATCTTTCCAGGGGCGGCAAACTGCTATTGATTGAAAACATGCAGCCTGACCTCCGGTGTACTCCATTCGCATTTGGTGTATTGCCTGGCTGGTGGACGAGTATCGAACCTGACCGGGCGTTGAATCCCCTGATTCGAGAAGATCGATGGAATGAAATACTTGGAAAATCAGGTTTTACAAGCACTAATCTTATTCTAAGAGACACTGAGGACAACAGCGCACACGAGATTAGTGTAGTGGTCTCCACGGCGATGAAATCTGAGTTTGACGCAAAAACTTGCGGTTTTGAGTCCATCCTCGCCGTTTGCGGTTCGGATACCCAACTTAACAGTGAACTGGTTGTGTCACTGGTACAGAGGTTTCATCAACACTCTGTAGAACTGCAAACATGCAACTACCATAATCTTCGGAACATGGATCTTCGGAACACCCTTGCTCTTGTCCTACTAGATTTGAATTCATTCGATATCTCCAATCTCACAGAGGGTGAGTATGAGAATATAAAGCACTTGCTTCTAACCTGTCCAGCTCTCATATGGGTTTCTGGAGATGAGCAGTACAACCCCAAACTCTCCATGCCAACTGGAGTTATTAGAACAATCCGATGGGAACGGGACCTAGAAAACATCAATTTCTCGATTTTAAGATTTAGAAATCCTCTTCCAGATATTCATCTTTTGTCGGACAAAATTGTGGAGTTCTACTGTCACAACTTTGACCCTCGACTTGGCCTCGAGAGGAATGGGGAGTTCATGTTCCAAAATGATTCCTTTTGGACAAATCGACTACTCCATTCTAAGCGGGTTAACGATTTTCTGAGCACTAGATTTACTCAAGAAACTCATCTTCAACCACTAGGTCATGGCCTCGAGCGTCCATTAAAATCCATGATCAGACGGCCTCGGCAGAGTGCCTCGTTGGAATTCATCGAAGATGAATCACAGCTCTTGCCAGTAAAGCCTACAGAAGTCAAGATACTTGTACAAGCATGTGGGCTGAGCTCTCGTGACATAATGACTGTCAACGGAGACGCTCCAGGAGACAGTTTAGGTGGTCAAGCATCTGGTATAATCACTGAAGTGGGAGTGGCGGTCACAAGTTTGAAAGTAGGCGAGCGTGTCATGTTTATCAATCCCAGCAGCCAAAATGGGACCTTGCAGAGTACCTTTCGAACACCGGCGGGTTTTGTTCAGAAGATACCAGATGATGTGGACCACGTCGAAGCTGCAGCAGTCCCGATTGCATTTTGCGCTGCATTTCATGCATTGCACAATATCGCGAAACTTGCGCCTAAAGAGAAATTACTCATTCATTCCGCTGCGAGTAGCGTTGGCCAAGCCGCAATTCAATTGGCAAGTCTTATTGGAGCTGATATATTTGCTACCGTATCCACGACCCAGATGAGAGAGCTGTTAATCAACGAATATGGCGTTAAAGAAGATCATATCTTCTTCAGTCGAGATGTTCTTTTCGAAAAAGGGATTATGGAGATTACAAAAGGTCGTGGTATCGATGTAGTTTTGAACCTCTTACATGGCGATGCCTTACAAGCAACCTGGAGGTGCATTGCTCCTTTTGGTAGATTTATCGACTTTAGGAGCAAGGATATCCTTTCTCTTGGAAAGCTAGAAATGGGTCCATTCTCTCGGAACGCGACGTATACCGGAATGGATATTTCATCAATGGGATACACAAAACCATCAGCCGTTTACCAAATATTCGAGGAAGTGGCCCACCTTTATCGGAGCCAAAAAATACGTTGCCCAAGGCCTTTGGCTAGGTTCAGGTATGCTGAAATTGATAAAGCACTGTCTCAGCTTCAAGCTGGTAACCTGGAGGGAAGTCTGGTTGTGGTACCGACGGAGGGAGATTTGGTACCAGTAAGTAACTTCGAATACCGTATGCAGCCTTTACTTGTACCTAACGTAGTATGCAGCAAAAAATCACGGAGATGTCTCATTATAATTTTCCTTCTGATGCCTCCTACATCCTTGCCGGTGGCCTGGGAGGGCTAGGAAGAAGTATAGCTAGATGGATGGCCTCACGCGGGGCAAAACACTTCATTTTCATATCAAGGTCTGGAGGCCGAAGCGACGCCGCTAGTGCATTGATCCAGGAACTTCACAACCAGAGTTGCCAAGTCAAAGTGGTCGTAAGTGATGTAAGCGACCACCAGCAACTTATGAAAGCTCTTAAACCCTGCACATTATCAATGCCCCCCGTTAAGGGGTGCTTTCAGTGCTCTATGGTTCTCCAGGTAAACTAGTCCGCCCATGTCTCAACTAAGACTCACCCTCTAATATTTTGTAGGACTCTTTGTTTGCCAACATGACTTACGCGCAGTTTAATGCAGCCATCAAACCCAAAGTTCAAGGATCTTTGAATCTCATTGAAGCGCTTCCACGATCCATCGACTTCTTCATTTGTCTCTCATCAGCTGCTGCCGTTGTTGGCAACCGAGGACAAGCAAACTACGTAGCCGCGAATACATTCCAGGACGCGCTTGCTGAACATCTGGTCCTGACTGGCCTTCCCGGACTATCTATCAACCTGGGTAGCGTCCTTACCGTCGGATGGGTGGCTGAGAACCAGCAGAATTTACCGATCAGTGCGGCTTTTGGCACCCTCAGTGAAGAAGAACTGCTTTCAGTCATAGAGTATCACATTGATCCCCGTATGAAAGCAGCAGCCTCCGTCGATACGTGCCACACAGTTGCTGGGCTCCGCTCATCTGCATACTTCGTTCAGCGTGGCCTGCCACCACCGGCGTTCATGCAATTTCCATTCTTTTCCCATTTACTTCCATCAGCAGGCGTCCATAACACTGATGGAGAGAAAGAGATAGATTTTCCGATTAATGATTTGCTGAAAACTGCAGACTCTTTACAAACTGCAGGAGACGCAGTTTCTAAAGCAATTGGGTGGAAACTATCACGGGTGATGTCTATCCCAACGGAAGACATTGACCTAGACCGCTCACTGACCTCTTATGGAGTGGACTCTCTTGTGACCGTGGATTTCAGAACCTGGATCATGAAGGATATGGCTGCCATTGTGCAGGCATCAGACATATTGAGCGAGAAGAGTATGTTGCAACTAGGGACTGAAATTGCCAAATTGAGCAGCTTGGTTCCCAAAGAGTGAAGTGGCAGAGAAATTATTGCAGTGCTCTCGGCGAATAGCTCGTAGAGCCTCACGGTAGATCCTACGCTTCAGGGCTGGCTATGCAGATTTTGCCCAGAGATTTCTTGAACAGTACTTGAATAAAATAAGGTTGAATGTTGTTGACTGATAGGAATGACGGGGAAATATGATTGAGTGTAACGAGTTCCACCTGTTAGATGATAGCAGTTGTTAGCCGAAAGCTCAGAAGTCAGGGGATCCAATGCATGTGACACGAATTACTGTCTCGGCACGCCCAACGAGCCATTCCGGCCAACGAGCCACCCCAACGATAAGTTGACGATAGAAAAATGAAGCTGTAGACGCCCACACAAAAGCTGCTGTCACGAGATTTTCTAACGTATTGCTATATAAAGCCTTGCGCATTGATTGCACTATTTATATTTGGCTGGTAACCGGCTGTTGCGCCCGCGCCTGCTGTACCGAGGTGGGACGCGTGATGCTCGGGGACGCGTGATGCTCACCCCACCACAACAACAACATTTTTCCTGTATCTTGAACACGCGACACCTCGCCCAATATGGATCCAATTAATGCAGCGATTGAATTTTTAGAATCGCAGCCATCGAATGCACGATCCTCGTATACAAAAGTCGCTGCGCAGTTTGGTGTATCACGACACACGCTCGCTCGCCAACACCAAGGCAAATGTTTCTCACATGCCACCAAATCACTCAACCAGCAATTACTTAGTCAACAACAAGAGTTAGATCTTGTAAACCACATCAGACAATTAACAGAGGAGGGCTTGCCACCTTCTAGGCGTATGCTACAAAATTTCTGCACATCTATTGCTAAGAAGCCTGCCTCCCTACGTTGGGTGTCGCGCTTCCTTCAGCGTCACAAAGATGAGCTGAAATCACATCACGGCAAGGGGAAGGACCGACTCCGCCACAAGGCAGATTCCCTATACAAGTACGAGCACTGGTTTCAAGATTTAGCTAGGATCCTTCTTAAATATCACGTCAGGCCGGGTGATATATACAATATGGATGAGAAGGGCTTCCACCTTGGTAGAGGTGAAGGTACCTACAGAGTCTTTAGTAGGGACTCATGGGAGCGAGGGGGTCGTCGTCAACCTATACAGGACGGATCCAGAGAGTGGTTGACAGTGATAGCGGCTGTATGTGCTAATAGGAGCGTAGTCCCACCCACTATACTATACGCCTCGCCTTTAGGCAACATTCAAGAGCGCTGGGTAAAGGATATTGAGTACAAGGACGATTAGGTAATGGTAGGCAGTACCGAGACGGGATGGAGCAATAATAAGGTAGGCGTGGCTTAGCTGGAGGACGTGTTTGATAGGTATACAAAGGACAAGGCCCCCCTACGTCACCGACTACTCCTCCTAGACGGCCACTCATCCCATCAAACCCCAGAGTGTATGGAGTATTGCAGACCCCGGAGGATCCTACCCTTGTTACTACCTCCTCATAGTACCCACACGTTGCAGCCGCTAGATGTAGGGCTCTTCTCACCCCTGAGTTCTGCGTACAGCCACCAGCTCGAGGAGTACCTTGCCAAGACCTAAGGGCTCCTTTCACTCAAGAAGGGAGACTTCTATCACCTATTCAAGCAAGCCTAGGACACCTCCTTCACCGCCACCAACGTCCAGTCCTCATTTGCAACCACTGGGATCGTCCCATGGGAGCCAGAGGAGGTGCTCAAAAAGTTCCGTACAACAACACCAGAGCCTCCTGAGTACCCTACTGCAATTGATATTGTTAACCGACGTACAGTAGGCGCGCTCATAGCAGATACTGTTACCCCTAATAGTTATGAGGCGGCCGTAGTAAAGGAGACGCTCCTTTCACTACAAGCCTATCAGGCTATACTAGAACATGAGAACAATAGCCTTAGGTACGCGTTAGGACGGAAGCAGAGGGACTATGAGACCCCTATTAACGCTCTAGATGTTCAGACAAATAGGGATAATCATTTAAGGGCTCTACTTCTGTCACTAAGGACTATACGTCATGCCACTGATCAGAGGATGGAGAATGAGCGTGAGATAGAGGAGGAAAAACGCAACCAACTTCGGACAAAGGAATTGAAGGCTGAGGCTAAACTTATTGCCGAAGAACAGGCCCGTATGAAGCGTGAGGAGCGGGTGAAGGAGAAGGAGAGGAAGAAGAAAGAGAAGGCTGCCAAGGCTGCTCAGGTAATCAAGGATTGTGAGGCTCGCAACGCTCTGAAAGCTATACAAACTTCCTAAAGTAGTAAGCGTAAGGCTTTAAAGCCTGCTGCAAAGCAACAGCTAAAAAAAACAACGCGTGGGTGGTGCTAGGGGGGGTGCTATGGCTGAGGTGCCTGCACCGGCACCTCCACCAATACTCACCCGCCGCGGCCGGACTGTTAATACCCCAGCCAAGTTTAGATAAGCAAAGTTGTAGAGCTACGTCTATAGATTAATACTCTAAAAAATCTCGCGATAGTAACTATTGTACGTGGTTGCGCAGCCTCATGTTTTCCGTCGTCGCAATGTTGTTGGGGTGAGCATCACGCGTCCCCGAGCATCACGCGTCCCACCTCGGTAACGTGTCCGTGCGCGTGATGCGCGGATTTCGCGTGATGCGCGGGGAACACCATATCCACTACTTCAAAAATGAAGCTATTAAGCCACGTATATAAGCTGTTATTATACGAATTTATAGAGGAGGAGTAATTAGATGCTTGCGATCAACTTGTACTATCTATATTTTGATGGGAGGTTGACGTTGCGGCCACGTGATGTGAGCTTTGATTTTGATTTTTTGATTTTGATTATGGTTTAACGCCCTATCTGTAACCTCCCATAGGGTATTCGGGCGGGTCCCGCCGTGGTCTTATAGTGCTGTCGCACTTGCCTCGTGGAACCTATTCCTAGGTGTTTTGTATCTAAGGGGAGTGATGTCCTGCCTATATACATGTTCGTGAAAAGGACTCCCGCCATTTGAAGCCGTTTTCCTACAATATTCTAGTATTTCGTGGCTTGCGCCTTTGATCGATGCAGTACAATAACTGCTTTTTAGAGAGAGAAACGAAAAAGTAACAAGAGGCAATTTAAGATACAATGAAAGTTTTAAAAGAGAGCGTGTGGGTTGTGGCATCTATGCGGCGTTTTGCCGCGAATCCTACACTGAATAATGCCAAGGAATTCAGCGGGTCTTTGTGAAATTCAAAAATAGAAATCACTCGTCATAGAAGGAGTTCGTTACCTTCACGAAGGTCTCGAACTCTTGTGGCTGGTCTATTAATTGCGCGAGGTACGCTAGGCCTTCCTGTCTTGTGCGAGGGGGCACGATGGGGCGTAGAGGCCACTTCTTGAAGTGTGTTGTGGCTCTCTTGCAGAACACTAGGTGTTCTGGTGTGAGCTTTGATGGAGGAGCTGGAGGCTCTTCTTGAACTTGAGCACCAGCGCGAGCAGCCTCAACGCGTTTTTGACGCTTGTTGTTCGATGAGGTAGCTGCTGAAGCTCTCCTCTTTCCCTTTTGGGGTAGTTGTATAGCTTTAGCAGCGTCTCTCTCCTCCTTCTGGCGCGCGCGTTCAGCTGCTTTCTCAGCTCGCTCAAGCTCCCTCATCTCCTTGAGTCTCTGCCTCTCCACACGCCTCTCCTCGAGCTCATCTTGACGCTGCAGTCGAGCCTCCTCGCGCTGCTTCTTGGACCGTGCTTTTTGGAGTTTCTCCTCCGTCTCATCTCGCTCCCGTACTGCTTCTCTAGCTCGAGCCTCACGCAGCTTGCGAGGAGACCAGAAGACAGAGCCACCGTGATACTCCTGGCGCTGTTGAAGGTCAAGAGCTTTGCCCTTCTTCCTGTGCTTCTTTTTATGTTGAAGAGCCTCCTTTAAGCCCTCGTTCTCATGCTTTAAAAGCTCATACTGCACAGAGAGATGGTGAACGCTTGAGCGCAGCTTTCTTGCCTCATACTGATGGCTATCATTAACAGCAGCTCGTACTAGCCGATCGAGCTTTCTCCAGTCATGATCAGAGAGCCCTGACGATGAGCTTCTCTCAGCTTCTGGCGTGCTAGCAAATCTACGAAGGATAACGTTGGCATCCATCGGCCAGATCCCAGTGGCTTCGAAGGCCTTCAATATGAGGCTCTCTGTGAAGGAGGATATCCAGGCGCTCCAGAAGAGCGGGAAGAAGTCCCCTTTCTTGATTGGAATAAGGCCTTGAGCCTTATGGAGATGGTTAGTGAGCTCGTTAGAGTAGGCTTGAGAGAGTGGCTTGAACAGCACTACATCTAGCGGCTGGAGCGTATGGGTCGAATGGGGAGGAAGGATCATGAGGAGGATCCTATGGCGATCGCAGTACTTAATAAACTCCATCGTGAGGTGAGATCCATGGCCATCAAGGATGAGCAATCTCCATCTACCTGATCGTTGCTTTGTAGAGCGATCAAACACCTGCTCCAGCCAAGCTAGGCCTACGTTATCATTTGACCAGCCTGTTGGAGATGATGAGACAAAGACCTCATGTTCTCCTGCCTTGATATCTTCTACCCAACTCGATCGTATAGCTCCATTTTTAGCTGCGTAGATAAGGGCTGGAGGCAGCGAGCTCCCATCAGCGCAGCAGCAGGCCAGGACTGTCAGAAACTCGCGTGATCCATCCTGGAGAGATGCTCGAACCTCCTTCTTCTCCCATTGACGCCTGCTGAATATCCTCTTACTTCTGCCTATCAAGCCAATTAAGAAGCCCTTCTCATCCATATTGTATATATCTCGAGCCTCTAGGTGATATTCGGTGATCTTTCGATGCAGCAGCTCGAAGTAGAGTCTATACTTTGACTCAGAATCAGCCAGGTGGCGCGTACGATCCATGGCGCTGGTCCACTTTGAGATGAGATGGATCTCGTGTCGGTTGATGAAGCGAGTAACCCAGCTCTCGCTGAGCTGCTGATGGGCTACTTCTGATGAGAAATTCCTGATCATCTCTCGTGTAGGAGGAATGCCTCGCTTTGTGAGCTTTTCGATATATCTCACAAGCTCTAGCTCTTGTTGTGGGTTGAGTTTCTGCTGGTTGAAGTTCTTGTCTCTTTCTGAGCTTGTCTGGCCCTGGTGCCTTCGGGTCAACGTAGATCTCACAACACCATGCTTAGCAGCAATTTTAGTATACGAGAACTGTTCTCCTGGCTCTAGATTTTCAATATCTTCAATCGCAGCTTGAATTGGGTCCATATTGGTGGAGTTAACGTGTGTTGAAGGTGAAGGGGTTTGACGTGTTTTGGTGTTCCCCGCGCATCACGCGAATCCGCGCATCACGCGCACGGACACGTTACCCTGTCCGTGCGCGTTTTGAGCCAGTTCGAGTTTTGAGCCACCCCACCACCA